ACCTAATGCAACTCGTCTTTTCATCTCTTGACCGCTGCTTGAATGAACAGTAAGATAAAAACCTTGACAGCTTCAGCCGTATGGGAGTACGGTTCCAGAGGGAGCAAAAGCAGAAAAGTACTGCACGTGTTTGTTCCAGCCTTCAGGGCTACCTGAAGGATTTATGGAATTCATTTGTTATGCGCCTATCTCAGAACTCATATGGAGTGAAGAAATTGAAGAAATTACTTTCAAGGATACAAACACTTGAAGTTAAAGGATATGACTGACGCACGTACCAACAAACAAACAACAACAAACAAAGACTACTCTTTCCCCCTGAAGAGTGCCTGGTGGGTTTGCACTGCTAACCTTGTGATTAGCAGCCAACACATAACCACTTCACTACTAGGGCCATGAGTCAGAATTGACTCAGTGGCAGTGAATGTGTTTGTTTGTTTGTTGGTACGTGCGTCAGTCATATCCTTTAACTTCAAGTGTTTGTATCCTTGAAAGTAATTTCTTCAATTTCTTCACTCCATATGAGTTCTGAGATAGGCGCATAACAAATGAATTCCATAAATCCTTCAGGTAGCCCTGAAGGCTGGAACAAACACGTGCAGTACTTTTCTGCTTTTGCTCCCTCTGGAACCAAAGGATGGTCTGAGAGTGCTGGCTTTATGACTGCTTTATGACTGCTGATGAGCGGAGCAGGAGGAGATGGGGTCCATAGCAATAGACCAAGAAAGTGTGTCTGCTGTTTTAAAGTGACCTTTTTCATGATTCAGTTTTCCCTTCGTGTCTGTAAACCTTTGACTATTTTCCAGTCTTCTGACAAAGTTGATCCTTCTAGTTTCTACTTTTTTGGTTTGTTGGTTTCTGTGGGAAGACAGAAATGTGCAGCTGCTTATGCTACTATCTTACTGATATCACTCTAATTCACTCTTCAAAGCCATTTTTTATTGTGGGATAGATAATGCTAAAGAACTCTTTAACTCATATGTCCAGCCACATCAATAAATAGAATCTTGCCAGTACTCCTAATGCACCATATACCCTTCAAAAAATTTCAGTTCCCTCCTCACCACGGACTTGACTAGTATTTTTGTAATATTTCTCCTACTCTTATAGGTAGCACTTGACACTGTTTAACTTTTTATTCTTTTTTTAACAATGTCAGTAAATAATACTGTGTGTATTATCTTGGTGGTTCCATGTAACATTATAATAAGTATATTTTTGTAAGCTTATCGACAATTTGTATGGATCCTTCAGAGATAGAAATCATCTGCCCTTTTGAAACATAATTTTGTATTATGAATTAGGTGGGAGTTTACATTTCAGATCATCAATTTTGGAATTTAACAACAGAAACTACATATCCAACTCCTCAATAACTTGCCCTGCCCCCACTTTTGATTTTTCTGCTCCATCTTGAGGAATACAATCCTCCCCTTTACTTTTGACGTAGTTTGTAACCACCCCCTGGTGACACAGGCAGCATCCTATAGACAACTGGGACATAGGACTCTTTTCCTTTTGACATACACAACACTCATCACAGAACAAACTAGAAGAAACCAAATTGGAAACCCCACTGGGTGAAATGGTCTCTGTTCAGTGGCTAATTAGGAACATCCTACCACGTGTATTCTAAGCATTTTTCTCAATGTCGGAGTGTCCCACCCATCATACCCACCATCAGAAGTGCATTTGCTTTCTCCTATACAGGCATCTCTCCCTACCACCCGCACCGCCATCACTAATTACTCTTGTAGAGCTGTCTGTTGGTTTAGGATGTCCATAGAACACTGGTATATGGCCAGGATTAATTGATCTTCTTGAGAAGAGTCTCAGTTGATGTTCTTGAACTCACTTGTAGCAGAACTAAGGAACTAAAATATTCTCTTGAACTCTAGGCTGGAATTCCCTAGAGAGAAGAAGCAGACAAACACAATCCCAAGGTTAGGGAATTGGTAGTTATTGGAGTGTACTTGTTTGGTTATATGGCAGTTCTATGCTTAACTTCAATGAACCACCAAATAATTCCCCATAACTATACTACTTTACATTTCCACTAGCAATGTATAAGTGTTCAATTTCTCCACATACTCACCAACACTTATTATTTTAATTTGTAGCTACCCTAATGAGTGTGAAGTGGTATCCCATTGTGAGTTTTATTTGTATTACCCTAATTAATAAAGAGGTTTTCATCATTATTAATGATGCTAAGCATATCTTTTCATATGTTTAATAGCCTTTTGTATCTTCATGGGCAAAATGTGTCTTTAATCCTTTCCCCATTTTTGGGGGGACATTTTCAGTTTTTTGTTTTGTTTTACCTTTCACTTTCTTGCTGTCCCTTGATGCATATTATTTTAATAATGATGAAATTCAGTGTATCTCCTTTTTCATTTGTGGCTTGTGGTTTAGGTATCATATCTACAAATCCATTGTAAAAATACAAGGTCTAGAAGCTTTATGCCTGTTTTCTTTATCAGTCCATTTTGGTTTAATTTTCATATATAGCGTGAGGTTGTTGTTAGGTGCCATCAAGCCTGTACTGACCCCTAGTGCCCTAACTGTACATACCAATAAGACTCATGACCTTAAAAATAATATTATTGGAAGCTCTTACAACTCTTATAACAATCCATACATCCATTGTGTCAAGCACATTTGCACATATGTTGCCATCATCCTTTTCAAAACGTTTTCTTTCTACCTGAGCCCTTGGCATCAGCTTCTCATTTTTTCATATTTTGCACCATCCGCTGTCTCCCTTCACCCACATTTCTGTTGTTTCTCACCTTGGGTAGGGGGATTATACATCGGTTGTTGAAATCAGTTTCCCCTTTCTCCCCCTCCTTCCACCTACCTTCATATCGCTACTCCCATTATTGTTCTTGAGGGGTTTATTTGTCCTGGATTCCATGTGTGGAGAGCTCCTATCTGTATCTGTGTACATGCTGGTCTAGCCGGATTTGTAAAGTAGATGTGGGGTCATGATAGTAGGTGGGGAGGAAGCATTAAAGAATTAGAGGAATGTTGTATGTTTTGTCAGTGTTATACTCCACCCTGGCTGGCTTGTCCTTTCCTTGTGACCTTCTTTATAAAAATCTGTCTTTTTAGCTTTGCCACTGAACAAAAGCTTAGAAGCAACAACAACCCAAAAGCAATGAACACTTTTAGCAATGTACTGTGGTTTCTGGAAACCATTTCTCAATTATAGAAACAAGGGATCTCTAGAAAACTATTCCAGGTTTGGGTAGGATAATTTGACATTAAAAAGAATCATGACTATAGGTAATTCAAAAACATCAAATATACAAAAATAAGTCCCTTCTTAATGACACTAAAAATAATCATTGGCTATCATTGGAATTTTCCTAGAAGAAATATAAAATAATCAAAATTTATCTTGCTTTTTCTCAGCGAGCTATTTAGGGACATGAAATCATTTATGATAGTTTGTTCATTATAGAATTCCAACTAACAAATGAGAAAGACATAAAAGAATTAGGAGATCCTCATTTTATAACCGTTGATAAGTTAATAGATCTAGGCAGTGGTCATCAGTAGCTGTAAAATACCTTACAAATAATCCAAAGCCATCAAGTCAACTTATAGCAATGGCTTGGGCTGCTAACCACAAAGTCAGCAGTGTGAACCCACTAAGTGTTCCCGGAGAGAAAGATGAGGTTTTCTGCTTTCCTAATGGTTTACAACCTCAGAAACCCACAGGGGCAATTCTTCTCTTTCCTATATAAGGTCACTATAAGTCAGAATGAACTCCATGGCTGTGAGTATCTCAGTATTGAGTATTGTGATTCTGTATAGGACAAAGTAACACTGCTCCATAGGGTTTCCTAGACTAAATCTTTTTGAGAGTAGAAAGCCTCAACTTTCTTTCTCGGAGTGGTCAGTGGGTTTGAACTGCTCACCTTGTGGTTAGTACCCCAATGCTTATCCCACAGCACCACCAGGGTTTCTTTAAAGGCTTTAGGTGAAAGGTAATGGGATATATTTGTCGTGGAAAGATCAGGCTAATACCACCTGAATTCATTGATAAATTTCAGTGTCACTATGTATGGCTCCACCAAGCTTATATCTTCTGAGACAATGCAATTCGATATACATAGAACCATTGTTCTCCCTTAAAAAAATTCAGCCTGCATTTAATAAAAATCTCTAGGTCAGCACTACAATTTGACTTTCTGCAGTGATATAAATGCCCTTTATCTACTCTGTCCCACATGGTATTCTCTAGCCACATGTAGTATTGAATACATGAAATGTGACCAGTAGGCCTAGGGAAATGGTATTTTAAAAATTAATTAAAATAGCTACATGTGACTAGTGGATACTGTATTAGCTAGCATACCTCTAGACTTAAATACCAGTTTATCGAAAATAGATAAAGGAATATTAATATCATGAGGAAGCTCTTAATCAAATATTTATCATTAATTGTTTTGTAAATGACCTGGTTTCTCTAATAAATCAATGATATGGGGGGAAATGGACTGGGAGCCTAGAAGGAAGGGGTACTGTTTTAGAATTTTAAAAACCTAAAAGACCTAAAAGCAAAATATTTGTTTAGATCCTAAATTGAGCAACCGATTGTTAAAAAAATAATTTTTTGAGATAGAGCAGTTTAAATTTGAACTTGGTATTAGATGACGATGCTAAGGAATTATTAATTTTATGAATTATGAGAAATATATGCCATACTAGTTATATCGTTTAAATGTCCTTATCCCTTCATTAAAGTTGCATGCACTTATATAACCTGAGAGTGAGTGCCTCCTTAAATTGTGCAGCTTAGGTGCCCCACTTACTTCCTCATAGTCCCAACCTCACTTGGGATGCTATATACTGTTGTCATTTATCACCAATTGTAAAGACCTACCCCAGCAGAGTTTCTGTATCTCAGATCCAAGATTGAATTTATAAATTTATCAAAGGTTGCGTTGCTAGGCTTTGTAGAACTTCCCTATCTCTTTGTCTTGATCCAGATGATCCCCAAAAGAAGAACAAAGGTGATCCCATGAACAACCTGGAAAGTTTTTACCAAGAGATGATAATGAAAAAACGTCTTGAAGAGTTCCAACTTATGAGAGGTGAACCCTTTGCTTCCCACTCACTGGTGTCAGCTACATCAGTGGGAGATAGTGGCACAGCTGAGAACCCGTCATTACTCCAGGACAAGGGAAAACAGGCAGCACAGGGTAAAGGTCCCAGTCTCCATGTGGCAAAAGTTATTGAGATTCTACCTCAGCAGTGTTGGACTGGGCCTAAGAAGCTGACGCAGCCAATAACATTTGTCCCAGAAGATGAGATCCAGAGAAATCGTTTGTCAGAGGAAGAGATCCGAAAAATTCCCATGTTTTCTTCATATAATCCAGGGGAGCCAAACAAGGTATAGGCCAAATCAATTTTAAAAAATGGGTGCTTCTCACTTCTATTTCCCTCTCCCTAATGTAATACTTCTAAATTAGCTTTGATTCTGCTAAAGAATCACGGAAGGTGTAGTGATTATGTTTGTTCTCCACTTTGACTATTGATCCTCTACATACTTCATAAGTAGTCTAAATATAACATAGTCCTTATGATCCACTTTATACTTTTTCTAAACCACCGTGGGAATTTTAAAGTTACTTTTATGAAATGCAAGTTTAAACCTGCTGAAGCTCTGAATGGAAATAATAATAATAATATTTTAAAATAATAATCAAGGAATTCTTATAGGACCACCATATCCAGTAGTCATTGTGCCTCTGGAACTAATCAATAAATAATTGATTGCCTCATAGGTGCCATTTGCCACATGAGCTTTCTATTCAGAATGCTCTATATGGCTTTCACCTGACATGTGTCTTCCTGTGACTTCTGTTGCAGGTAGCTGAGCAGCACTGACAAACGCAGGTCCTCAAAAGCTTGAGGACCTGGCAAACATACATCTGAGTGAAGTTATAACTATTGTTTTACTGATCAGATAAATCATTGTAGCACCTTCATAGTATATGTGTTATATGTGGAATAAAAGTTTCATTATTATGTCACCCAGAGGCAACACAAACTTCTGCAAAATAGGCTTTGTTGTGTTTAATTTAATAAACAACCCCCCCAAATAATGGTCGTTTCTTACAGTCCCAGGTTTTATGTATGTATTATGTATTTTTTAGGGCTATGAAAGCAGGTTCCTTTTAGTGTTTGAATTTCTAATATATTCTTGCTATTAGTTGCAGGGTAATTGTCTCTTTATGTGTTATGAAACATTACTAATTACTAATAAAAACTTAGAATACTATAGCAAACACCTTCGTACTCAAAGAGTCCTCTGAATAAAGTCTTAGCATTTTCCATGTTTCTTTAATTTTAAAAATAAAGTATTATAGCTATACATGAAGACTTCTATGTATCCTCTGCCATTCCCATTCCCTTCAGTTTATTCCAGAGCTAAGGCTCTTACATGTTTTTATGTTTTTTACTGAATATTTGTTGTTGTTAGTTGCCATTGATGTAACTGGCTCCCAATGACCTCGTGTGTTCAGAGGAGAACTGATCCGTAGGATTTTCAAGGCTGTGACGTTTCAGAAATAGATTGCCAGCCCTAGCTTCTGAGTTGCTTCTGGGTGGATTTGAACCACTGACCTTTTGGCTAGTAGTAAATCACTTAGACAACATATAGTTTTACACATTTTAAAACTACATAAACTCTATCATACGCTATATATTTCTTCTACAACTCAATTTTTCACTCAATATGCATTGGAATTTATTTCCATTGCACAAGGAGGTATGTAGTATTTAATGATAGAAAAACACCATAATTTACTTATCCATTTTCTTATTGACTATTTTTAACTCTGCCCAATATTTCTTCATCACCAGTACAGTTTGGATACACCAATTTTTCTGTCTTCTTTTTAACATGAGCCAAATTTCACATGCTTTAGAGGTGACAGCTTTGCTTCTTAAAACCTTGAAGAGGCATTTTACAACAGAATTGCCCAATGCTGTATATCATTTGATTTCTTGACTGCTGCTTCCGTGACTGTTGTTGGTGTGCCAAGTAGAATGAAATTGTTGGCATCTTCGGTTTCTTCTCCATTTATCATGGTGGCATTGAGCAGTAAGGTCATGAGGATTTTCGTTTACTGCATATGCAGGTATAATCTAAACTGAAGACTGTAATCTTAGACTTTCTGTAGTAACTGATGATGTCGTATTCTTTTTTGACAATCAAGGTTCTATTATCTGTATAGCAGAGATTACTAGAGCTTTCCTCCAATCCTGATCCCGCATTCTTCTTTATATAATTCTCAGATGATGTATTCAGCATAAGGAGTAAAAAAGTTAGATAAAAGGACACATGCCTTTATACCTTTGCCATTTCAAATTATGCATCATCCCCATGTTCTATTAAAATCACTGCCTTTGATACATGTACAGGTTCCACATGTGCACAATTAAATTGTCGTTCTCAAATGTTATCCTTAATTTGTTATGATCAGAGTTGTTAACACTCAAATAAAATAATAACCTTTCTGATATTCTGTGGATACAAATACTTCAAAATAATTTCAGAGGTTGGGGGGTTGGGCATGAAAGATGATAAACTATTACAGGAGAATCAAACTGCATTACAGAGCTATTAACTAATTTCACTGAAAGAACTAGGGGAAAAGGTTGTTCACCTAAATGTCTTTGGAAATGTGTGGAGTCTGTAAGACTGAAAGCAGGAGGCCAGGGACAGGGAGAGGGGAGGATTAGGATATTGAGGAGGGAAGCTAGGGAAAGGGGGGGGGGACACCACATTTATGGAAGATTTAACTGAATATTGTTTTTTATTTCATTTCTTGAAATGCATTGTATCTGTACACAGTGTGCTTCTTTGGGGCTGGGAGAGGCCTCCAGAAGACTTACCTCTTGAACCTAAATATTGATTGAGTGGCTAAGAAAAGGAGGAAAAGTCAAATTGAAATGGACTTGGAGTCTTTAGTGACAACCAAGTTCATTTTAAACACGTGGGAAAAAATTAATGGATTGCATATAAACACTATACTCTAGCTCATAAAGTTGTTTCCCCTGAGGGTATAGGTTAATGATTCTGATACTATTATGCATGTAACAGAATCATTAGGTAAAAGAGCTAGCTCTCATTACAATGAAAGTTTGCAAGTAAGGGGGAGCCTATGGTAAGGGGTTAGAGTTTGAGACATCAGAATGTATTTATATCTTACCATAGCTACAGATGGTTACTTATAGAAATATTTATAAGTGTATATACACAAGTTATGCATATCTTTTTTGATCCGTCAGCCGAGAGAGCCTAGAATTTTGATAGCCCAATAGCCTCAATATCCTGCTCTTAGTTGCTAATACTATTTTCCATTAAAAATAACTCAGGCTTCTTGGGAAAACTGTTATTTCAAAAACTGGGGCAGGAAATATGTAAGATTAATACCAGAATGTGCTCAAGATAAACATAGAAACCATTGTTAGGGGTATGTCACAGGAGCTTCAAAGGTTCAAAAATACAGCCTTTTGTGCAAAAATTAAAATGGTATAGGATTATAACCCAAAGTATACAATAAAGATCCACGAATCCATGCAGATATGGATAAAGGGATTGGATAAATAAATAAATGGGAGAGAATAGATAAATCTCCCTTGGAGAAGAATTCCAAATGATTGACATTGATAACGCCAACCCTCAAGGAAGGGCAGAATAACTCCCTACTCTGCAGGCTGTTCATGGTGACTTCCTTCCAAAGATTATGTCATGAAAAGGACTCACGGCCATGGAGTCCATTTTAACTCAAGTGATCCTATAGGATAGAGTAGAATTGTCCCTATGGATTTCTGGGACTGTAAATCATTATGGAAATAGAAAGCCTCATCTTTCTCCCTTGGAGAGGCTGCTGATTTCAAACTGCTGATCTTGTGGTTACTACCCCAATACAAAACCCACTATGCTACCAGGGCTTCTCCCCAGAAAGGGAGAAAGAGCTTGGTAGGTTTGCCATAGAGAAACCTTTACATCACGACCTCATTTAAGTGATCAAGATCCACATCAGCAGCCATACTTCACGTTGGTGTTAAGTATACTTGTTATGATATAATGGAAATGGCAGTTGACCTCCATTGTCTTCAACTCAATGCCCCACAACCCCAATTTAACAATGAGAAAGTTATCAGACAAATTTCAGTCATGAAGAATCCTACAAAATACTTTAGGGGAATAATATAGGAAGTCAAAATAACTATGGACTAATAATAATAAACCAATATCAGTTTATCAATTATAACCGATGTACCATACTAATATAAGATATTAATAATAGAGAAACTGAGTACAGAATATAGAGGAACTCTATTTTGTCAATATTTTGTAAAAATTAAAGTATTTAAAAAGGGATAAGAAACTGTATGAGGAGGCTTCAAAAAGTTCATAGAAAGATTTTATTATCTTTTTATTACATTTTTCCCACTTTGAAGCACCATTGATGAGAATGCATACAATTTATATGCCATTTATATCAAGTTAAAAGCATGCAAATTAATTCATAAGAATACCAGAAAGAGCTTCATTCCTTTCTTATCACTTAGAAGTTTTTCTTTTTTATGGAAATGTTTATCATATTTCTGAGCCTTGCTGTATCTTCAACAGTCTTAGTATACGCCTTAAATACTAAATAACTCGCCTTAAGTACTAAATAACTCGTGAGAAACTTGTAGTCTGTTTTCTTATACTCCTTTCTGTGGCTATTTAATTTGATGATGCTTTCATGATGAGGATTTGAAAGCCAAGACTCTAGATCACCTAAAATTACTTAGATGAATCACAAGTCAATAACTGACTGCCCTCACCTCTAAGTTACTATACCTAAAAAAAAAATACTACACCTAAATCCTAAACAGGAGAATATCTAGTTTTTACAGACTTGAAGACATAAAAGTTTCTCTTATTTCTTACAATGTTTATTGCATTTATTCATATACTTCATTTGTTAGGTCATTCAAGTCGGCTCTTAATTTTCAGCTTGTTTTGGCAACTACCATCTGAATTGTTCCTAAGTTTCTTAAGCTATAAAGTTTGTAACTCATGGTAGCTAATTTATCAGAACTCTTCTTTGTTCTCTAGAATGTTCATATGTATATATATTTCCAGTTCTTTTCTGGGGTATTAATGATTTTTTTGAAATTTTTTCCCCTTATGATCTCTATTTTCCCCTATTTGTTTTCTGTTCCGTATATTCTGGTCCCTGTCTTTCACATTAAAAGCTTTACTCAGGTATCTGACAATGTATGTTCATATTTATAGTAGGATACTAAAAGCTGATTGGACGTCTTTGTTGATGTTGTGCTTCATTTTAAGATGATCTGGCTGAACCGTATGTTGGAGAAATTCTCCTCCTAAATTAGTTTCTGTAGATATGTAGTTTTGAGGTTTATCAGAGGAAACGGTTCCAAACTCTTGTTTGGGGGGGCGGGGTGCTCCCAGTAGTTTAGGAGCCAACCAGAAGGACAGACAAGGCTCCTTGGAATTTAGTATACATTCTTTGTCTTAATCTCCTTGCCCTCAAAGACAGTAGACACACTCTCACCAGGTCTGGCATTCCCATCTTCAGAGAATGGATCTCCAATATTTTCCTAGAATTGTGGATGGGACATCACCCAGTAACATATAGTAGGAGAAGGTATTGAAACGTTTCTTTATTGGTGTTTACAATGTTCAAATTGGTTTTGAAACAGTTTTCAACTTATTTACCTTATTTTAAACCTATCTATCTGTTCACATCATTTCCAGAGCTACCAAAGGTATAAATTCTTGAATGGTGTGAGGAGTCTCAAGTATGGATTGGCTTTCTTCCACTTTGGGTTTGAGATTCAACTTTGTTGGGTGTGTTTAATCAGTTCCTACTTAGTCAATTATTTTCCAGTTTCTAAAATATTTTTGCTCTTACCTTCATTTTTATTCTTGACCTTGTGGGTTGTTTTGTTTTGTTTTGTTCAAAAAAATATCCCTATAATTTTAGAGGTATTTCTGGAAGGACTTCAATTAGATGTATATATTTAATCTACCATCTTTATCTGAAACTAATTTGACTAGCCTACCTTCCTAATGTGATATTTCTGTTGTTATTGGTTTGTATTAGGTGTTATATCTGAAGAACCTTAGCCCTCAGGTGACTGAAAGGGATCTGGTCTCATTGTTCGCCCGGTTCCAGGAGAAAAAAGGACCTCCAATTCAATTTCGAATGATGACTGGACGCATGAGGGGCCAGGCTTTCATCACCTTCCCCGGTAAGTATCTTTTCTAAATGACTACGCACACATTCCCCGGAGACCACCTGTAACCGCTCTGATTTCGATGATCGCTCTTTGACTTTTCCACAGCCCAGGAATCAACAGGCTTTTGAATAAGGAAGTAAGGAAAATATGTTTTTAGAGTTATTCAAATCCCATTTTTGTGCTTTCTTGGTGGCATAGTGGTTACTCGTTGGGCTGCTATCCGTAAGGTCAGCAGTGCGAAACCATCAGCCCCTCCACGGGAGAAAGACAGAGTTATCTACTCCCATAAAGAGTTCCAGTCTCAGAAATCCACAGGGGACAGTTCTACCATACCCCATAGCATCGCTCTGAATTGGCATCGACTCAGTGCCAGTGAGTTTGGTTTGTTTTTTTCCTCCATTGACAGTGCAGGACCACCTTACCCCATAGTCCTATTTTAATAAGGTGGATCACAATTTCCACAATCCTGGCATTTCTTACCTACTATAATGAAATTTACTTGGCCTCTCCTGACAATAGTATTTCTAGTTCAAGGGATAATTATACTTCTTATTAATTAATAGATTGGTATTTGGATCAGAATTCATGTACTTGCCTTTAGGATTCAGTGACTGCAATCTAATATGCTAATTCATTGATAATTCATAATTAATGGGTGGTGATACAGTCTTCTAAATATTTTTCTTATATAAACTCATGGCTTCAGTAGAATAATACAGGAATTTCCATTTCTATGACAGACTAGATAATATATCTTTTGAGATAGGAGGAGGTTAGGTAGGGGCTATACCTTCCATCGTTCCTAAACTCATCGTTTTTTTACCTACTCACATATGTGTAGGCAAGTACTTCCAAGCATCAGTACTGCCACACACGTTCTACTGCTTTAATCTAGACTGGTACCACCTTTTCTATCTGATTTAAGGTTAGTGAACCCTCTATACCAGTGCTTTCCCATCTTTTAAATTGTGAAGATCCCTTTTAAACTTAAAAAGGATTTCTCAGTTTTCCCTACATTATATGATCCATTAATTTAAAGACCTAAGTTCAATGTCAATTTTAAATAGATAACTTTTTAATAAATCATAACAGCAGCTATACATATTTGAGCAGTTGGGTTATATATCAAATTACTGGTTCATTCTAAAGGCCTTTGGTCTATGGATGAATTCATAGAGTCTTAGCAATAATTCCATCCTTTATTTACACATCCCAGCTAGGAGCCCACAAGTTGAATACTCCTGCTATATGCAATATATTGTCACACCTCAAGTTCCCACCTGCCTATAAGAGAATTCTGAGACTTATTTATTCCATCTGAGAACTCCTATGACTATTCACCTGTCAAAAATATTTCCAAACAAGCAGCCATTGAAGCACATCAACATCCATGACCCAAGTGTTGTGAATGATATAATCCAAAGCTGAATGAGGGAGTAATACCCGAGCTTAAGTGGTGAGATTCTGTTTTTTAGAAGGCTTGGATGACAGTGGAAGCACAAAATACATTTGCCGGATCTACACAAGGAAAAACCTCTGTGATTTCCTTCTGACCATAATTGAAGGATGAGAATAAACTGGTTACCAAAGAATATTGTAGAGATGACTATAGGAGATCAAAATGATAACTCTAACTTGAGCAGTTAAAACCCTGTCGCTTGATCTTCCCTCTGATACACTTTGGGCTAGATCTGGTTTTAATATTTTCTGTGGGTTTTTTTGGTATGTTTTCATATTGGGGGTTATCTTTGATGGAATTTTGTCATTGTGGGTAGCCTTCTTAAATCTGTGTTATGTGTTTGTTTGTCTGTTTTTCACTACATAAAACCCAGAATTGATTAACCTATAGAGAAAACAACCAGAAGGAGGGTTTCTGGGTTATACGGTGGGTGAAGAGGGGGAAAGGGGAGCTGATATCAATGATTTCAAGAAGGAAGAAAAGGTTTTAAAAATTGATTGTGGTAGCAGTTGTACAATACTGCTTGATATGATTGAACTGAGGAATAATATGATATCTGTATTAGCTTCCAATAAAATGGTTTTGAAAAAAAAATGTCCTCAATACTAATATCTGTGTTATTTTTCTCTCTCTCTCTTTTAGATAAGGATGTAGCATGGCAAGCATTGCACCTAGTAAATGGATATAAACTCCATGGGAAAATATTGGTGATAGAGTTTGGAAAGAACAAAACACCACAATCAAACCTCCAGACTGATTCTCGCTTATCATGTGCTACAGATAACACCACAGAAATCAGTGACAGCTAAAAGATAAAGAGATTGTGAGTCCTGGGCGGTCTTTCTTGACATAGACTCTTAGATCTAGGGTTTGTGTATATGTAGCAGTTTGTTTAGAATTGAAAGGGAGAAACGAACACAGTAGGGGGAGTCATTAGGACAATCCCTTGGAGAGACTAGAAAGAAAACATCTTCTACGATCAAGGACTATATGGCCAGGTGACATGCCGAGAATGAAGGGTAGGGCACAAAAAGTATCCTTTTCTCACAATGAATGAGAAAGGATTCTTTAATCTTTATACTTTTTCTGGGGTATTCAATATTTGTCCGGCGAGATTATGTTTTTTACCCAACTGTCTCCTCTTCACAGAACAAAAGAAAAAATGAGTTTAATTTTGAAATATTATGTACCGGTACTAAAATTCATCTGTTTTCAATTTCATCCACCTCCAGAATCCTAGGCCTACATATCAACAATAGCAGTAGGTAGTTTCATAAATCAGTTGACATTTAATGAGTGCTTCCCCACTATGTGGTCAGTGCTTCAAAAAGCTATATATATATTTTTAAAGAATCATTTAAATTAACACATTGGTGTTCTTATGGAGCTTTAAGATAGCCACCATGAAATAATCATTCAATTCAAAGCAATAAAATTAACCTATTTTCTCATAGATGATGATATTAGATATCTGAATTTTTGAAGAGGAATGAATATACTAGTGAAGAGTATTAAAGGGGAGTGGGAAGAAAGAAATCTCTAGAAGACAGGTAGCCATCCCCAACTCCCCAATTGTTTGTTTATGGCTGCTGGAGAATAGACAATAGAGTTACATGGAAGTAGTACAACTTGTTATAGCTGTACTTATCACCCTGTGGAATTGACAGTTCACCGAACCTAAGCCTCGGTTTTCTTTTAAATGAGGATAATAATAAGAATGACCTCACTGAGTTGTAAAGATTAAATAAATTGGTATTGTGCAGGCTGAGGAAGAGAAACATTGAAGAGTAAAAAATGTCAACAGTCTGGATCCCTTGGGATACCATAAAGCACACCAACACATATACAATAGGAATGACAGGAGAAAAAGAGAAAACAACAGAAAACATTTTAAGATCTAATTGACTGATAACATCTTAAGTTTGACAACATCCAAGTTCAATGAGCAGCAAGAAATCCCTAATAGACTCTTCCTCGTGAAAATGCTGAAAGGCAAAGACGGAAAATCTGAGAACAACATGGATAAAACAAGGGATACCAGTAAGGTTAAGAGTGGGCTTCTCATCAGAAACAGTGGAAGCAGCAGTGAAATAATATTTTTCAGAATACATATAAGGAAAAACAAAATGGCTCAGCCAGACTCCTATATCCAGCAAAGCTTTTTCAATAATGAAAGTGAAATAAAGCCGTTCCTAGATCATAGAAACCTGCAAGGATTCATTGCTAAGAGATCCAATTTACAAGAAATAGTAAAGGAAGCTCTGTAGGCTGAAAACAAATGTCAACAGACAATAAATGTGAAAGGGGGAAAGGTAAATAGTGATTATAAAAGACAGTATAAATGTTCATTTCTTTTTCTTAGCTGATTTGAAAAGCAACTATATAAAACAAAATGGATATCATTATAATGTTGGGTTTATAGCATAAAGAAATATGGTTGAAAATAATAGCACAGAGGAGGTGGATAGAATCACAGATGTATTGGACTAAAGCAATGACTACATGATAAATCTATAGGAACAAATTGAGAAAACAGAAATAGGAAATAAGATTAATGTACCCAAAGCTGTGAAATTGTGTTTTCTATTTCCGTCATCTCTTGGCTTCTTTAAAAGATAAAATGGTATGTAAACAAATAATCATGACAATATATTGCTGGTTTTGTAATTTATAGAAGTAATATATATGTAACTGTAATACCATAAAAAGGGGAGGGGGTGGGTAGAATTATATAGGCATAACATTTGTATATCTCATTGGATTTAGTTAGTTTGTATAAGACTGAATCAAATTCTGAAAAGATGTATATGATAAGCCCTAGGGCAATCACTAGGAAAATAACTCAAAAAGTATAGTATAGTTAAAGAAATTACAATATTACATTAGAAAATATGAAATACAAAAGAAAGCAGTACTAGAGGATTAAAGGAAAAACAGGGACACAAGACCTATACAAACCTGTCAGTAAAATGGCAGCCAGATATCCACTGATCAATAATTACATTAAACATGGACAACTCAAATAGTCCAATCAAAAAAGAAAGATTGTCAGATGGGATTAAAAAAAGGGAAAACTCTAACTCTATTCTGTCTACTAGAAAAAAGACTTTAGATTCAAAGGTGTAAATTGAGTGTTAAAAGCAAAGATATGTAATGTAAATACCAACAGTAAAAAAGAGGTACTAGCAATAAAGGGTGACATTTTATGATAAAAATAACATGAAAACAGAGACATTTAGATACCTAATCGTAAACACCAAAATACAAGAAACAAAAACTGAAAGTCACAAAGGAGAATAGTTAAGTCAGCAATAATAATTGGAGGCTTTGACACACCACTTTCAGTAATGGATAGAAAATTAGGCAGATGACCAACAGGGAAATAACAATTCTTGGAAAGTACTGTAAGCCAGCTAAAGCTAATAGACAGCTATAGAACACCCCCCAGCAGCAGCAGAATCCACATTCTTCTCTAGAATAAAACAGGGGCCCTGCTTTCATCATTGCTATTAAGCATGGTACTGGAGTTTTGAGCCATGTCAATTAAGCAACACAAAGGAAATAATAGCCATTTGGATTTTTTTAAAACCCCCCAAACTAAATTCACTGCCATCGAGTTTCCAAGACCGTTAACTCTGTACTGGAGAAGATGAAACAAAATTATCTTTGCAGGCGATGTGATCTTTTATGTAGGAAATCCTAAGCAGTCTGCTAAAAAGCCATTAGAACTAATGCATTTATCAAAGTTTCCAATATAAGTGGAGTATACAAAACTCCCAAAATGTATACTGTGAAAACTATAAAACATTGTTGGAAAAAAATTAAGACCTAAATAAATGGAAAGAAATCCTGTCTCCATTGATTAGAAGACAATATTATTAATATGACAATATTTCCAAAATTGATCTATACATTTATTGCAGTCCTTGTCAGAATGCCATCTGACATCTTTTTAGAAATTGGCAGCTTATTCTAAAATTCATATAGACATTCAAGGGACCCATAAGAAACAAAACAGTCTTGGACAAACTCAGAGGACTTAGGTATCCTAGTTTCAAAATCTTTTCTATACAAGGCACAGAAATCAAAGTTATGTAGTACTGCCATAGGGTAGACATATAAATCAATGGAATAAAACTGAAATTCTAAAACTAATTCACTTATCAGTTATCAAGTAATTTTTAATTTTATTTTTAGTTATCAATTAATTTTTTATAAGGATGCCAAGACTACTCAATGAGAGAAGAAAAGTCTTTTTCAAAAAAAAGGTGCTGGACACAATGAAATGTCTATTCGTTTAAAAAAGGTGCTGGGGTAACTGTGTAGCCATAGGCGAAAGAATGAAGTTGAATCCTTACCTCATAGCATATATAAAACTTAACACAGAGTGGTTCAAAGACCTGAATATAAGTACTAAAGCCATACACTGTTAGAAGAAAAGCATATGAATAAATCTTTTTTGCCTTGGATTTTGGCAGTGGATTCTTATTTGTGACACCAAAAGCACAAGCAATGAAATAAAACATAAATTGTACTTCATTCAAGATTAAAAACTTGTGTTTCAAAGGACAGGATCAAGATTGACCCCACAAAACGAAAGAAAATATTTGTAAATTACATATCTGATGAGGGACTTGTATCCAAAATATATGTACCAAACTTCATTCTAAAAAGACAAATAATTCAATTTTACGATGGACGAAGGATCTGGATTGCACTTTATCTGAAAAATATGTACTCATGAAAAGATGCTCATGGCCTTGCCCCGCCCCACGAATCCAGAAGTGAAAACACACCTTGCCACCAGGTCTTACCCTGTGTCTCTGCAGCACTCCATCTCACCCTTCTGGTTGGAACTGCAGCTAAGGTAGGCTCCAGGTGGTGGCACTCTTTAGCGTGGAGGGAGCCGCCAGCTGTCACAGCAGGACGTCTCCTGGCTTAATTTCAGCGATAGGCTATTGGAGCAACTTGACCACTTTCACGTTACGTGACTGATGGTCTTGCTTTTTCTATGGGTTGGGCCCGCGCCGCACATACACACCTCGCCATAGCCATGTGCAACCGTTATGACTCCATTCCTGCGTTCCCCTCCCTCCTTGAGACACGTCTGACACAACAGCCACTGGTCTAGCCCAGTATTTAGCCAGGTAGACCAACAAACAAGTGTTTGTCAGCTATAATCTTCAGAATACAGACAGCAGCTTCACATTACTTGTAGGAAACAGGATCAAGGAAGAAATGAATACTTCCCCCCAAAAGTTAGCTGTGTAGCAGACGTGAGGTTTTATAACTTAGATGTGCTCTGATTTTAAATACATGGATTTAGTGTACCCCCCCCCCCCAAAAAAAAGGGTCACCATCATTAATCATCCAAACCCATACCACTGCAGTTGAGTAGATTCCAATGCATAGTGACCTGCTTGGACCGAGTAGAACTGGCCCTCTAGGGGTTCGGAGGCTAGCAATCTGTTTGGAATCATGGTCCCATCTTTCTCCTGTGGAGCAGATCATGGGTTCCAACTACTTACCTTTTGCTTAGCAACCCAATGCTTAATCTACAGGGCCAGCAGGGCCCCTTTTATATTATTCCATTTATAGGAAAGGCTAATAATTAGCAACTCTATAGATACATTAAGAGATGAAGGCGTTTAAGGGTGCTAGCTGATGTGTTCAAGGTTTCTTTTAGGAGTTGGTGAAAATGTTATAAAATTAATTGGAATGATTGCACCACTGTGTGTATATACTAAAAACCAGTGACTTGTGTACTTTAAATGCATGAATTGTATGGTGTGTGAATTGTGTATCAGTAAGATGTCTCCAAAATAAGTCAGGTACAATGCAAATATCCATCAATAGGAGATTGTCTGAATAAATTATGACACATCCTTTCCAATAGAATACTATGCAGCTATTTAAAATCTGAGCAATTGCTATCCATATATTCTGACCTGGACTGATAGCCACAGTTTTGTCTTAAGTTAAAAATCAGAGTCTAGAAATATGTATAATATTAATACTTTTTTTAAAAATACAAAATATTTGTATGTAAGGTATATGTGTATATAGAGATATATCTGAATAAATTTAGTGGAAAACTGAAAACCATTATATATATATTCTACCACATTGTCAACATTTAGAAGATGGAATTAGATTGATCAAAAAGAGGACTTTTGCTTTATAACATTTTTAAAGTCGTGTGATTTGGGTTGATTTTTACTTTTTTCAGTATTTTTTAAAGAGCAAAATATACTTAGCTAGTGACTTGTTTTCCTTTATGTTTTCTAGACCTGCTATAGAGATATCATCTGAAAATACTCAGGACATACTCTTATTCCTTTGAATTCACTTAGGATGAGTTCTCCAATTTTCTATAGAGTTTAAGGGTCAAGATGTACTGAATCATGACATAGCAGCTTGAACTTGTTTCTTTGGGATATACTTTTAAGCAGACTCTTCTAAGAAACCCCTTCCTGTTCAGTGGAAATCTCACCTCTGCTCTTAAGTAGGCATATAAACTACTAATTATAGAGGGAAATATACATGGAAATGTCTTCCAACTGGTTCATAGAAAACCAAACTGGTATATCCAGAAAATGGGGTTTTACTCAGCAATAAAATCTGATGACTATATGTAGCAACATGAATGAATCTCAAATGTATTATGCTAAGCAAAAGAAGCCAAACTCAAAATGCTAACTATATGACTCCAAACCTATTAATGTTGGAAAGCAGATCAGTGGACGCAAGGGTTACAAGTGGATAACATGAGGGATAGTATATTAAATCATGAAACTCTTCTGTATATTGTATCTGCAAAGTGAAAGCTCAAGGGATTTTTTTCATCATGGAAATTTATGTTGATTGTATTTACATGACTATGCATTTGTCAAAACTCAGAACTGTAACAAAAAGATTACTGTATGTAAATTTAAAAATAAATGCAAGTTCCACAGAAGGAAAGAAAAACTGGAGGAGACCATTATTTAAGACTTCAAGCCACTTTGAAACTATATTTCTTAGGAAAAATCGTCAGCTCAAAACATTTGTTAATGGGGCTTCAAAAAGTATTACCATTATTTGTTGGTCCATTTTTTTCATAAACATTTTGAAGCCCCTTTGTACACATCTACACAAAATCCCACCAATAAGATATCTCAAGAAAACCTAAAAATGTACTTGTCACATTTAAGAAGTTAATTTCCTAAACAACATATATGTCATTTTCTTAACATACAAAGGCTAATAACAATGCAATAGAAAAGTGGGAAAAAGAACAAAATCATAGAAAACGAAATATAACTGGCCATAAACTGTAAAATTGTTCAGACTTGCTAAAAAAGTAATGCAAATTAGGACAAGGAGCTAACTCTTTTTTTAGATTTAATAGAACAATCACAAAAATTGTACAAAGAATTCTGGTATACCTTCCTCTAATGTTAACATCACATATAATCATAGTGCACTTTTCAAAACCAAGATACTAATATTGGTACAGTACTATTAACTGATTTACAAATATTTTAAAATTTGTGTTATTCCACTAATTACCTTTTCTGATCCAGGATCAAATCAAGGGTCCTACATTGCATTTCATTATCACGTCTTCTTGATAATGTCTTGGAGTTGGTTCTGATTCACTGGACCTATGTACAACTGAAGGAAACACCCCAGTCCTGCACATCCTCACAATTTAAGCCCTTGGTTGTAGTCAGTATGTCAGTCTATCATGTTGAAGAGCTTCCTCTTTATCACTGTGACCCTCCACTTTACGAAGCCTGATGTTTGTTCTTCTCCAGGGACTGGTCCCTCCTGATGCCCTCTCCAAAGTACCCGAGGCAAATTTCACCATCAGTGCTTCCAAGTATCAGTCCAGCTGCGTGTGTTCCAAAACAGATGTGTTCTTTCTTCTGGCAGTCCATGATATGCATAATACTCATTGCCAACACCAGAATGTAAATGCATCAGTTTTTCTCCAATCCTCTTTGTTCGTTGTCGTGTATTTGCATTCATATGAGGTGATTGAACATACCATGGCTGGAGTCAGGCGTACCTAAGCCCTGAAAGTGACGTCTTTGCTGTTTAATACTTTAAAGAGTTCTTTGTACGAAGATTTTCCCAGTGTAATATATCCTTTGTTTTCGTGATTGTTGCATTCATGAATGTGGATTGTGGATCCAAGTAAAACAAAATCTTTGATAACATCAATCGTTTGCCCATTTATCATGATGGTTTTGATTGGTCCAGTTGAGAGGATTTTTGTTTTCTTTACATTAAGGTGTAATCCACACTGAAGGTGGTAGTCCTTGAACTTCATCAGTAAGTGTTTCACATCGTTTTGACTTCAATAAAAAAGGAAGGCTGGACCATCTGCTTATCATAGGTGTTCAGGAGCCTTTTGCCAATCCTGATGCTATGTTTTTCCTACAGTCTAGTCTCTCGGATATTGCATATGATATTGTAGTCTCATCAAATCTGTGACAGTTCCTTAATAGTTTCCTTTCCTTACTTGGCAATTTGGAAAATTACTTGTCAATTATCTTATGGAATACCCCTAATTTAGGTTTGTCTGGCACTACAAATTGTTCCTGATTTCTCTAGTATTTTGCATGCCCCAACCCTCGAATCAACTATTCATAATTAAATTAGAGCCCCAGTTTTCATATTAGAAAAATGGTACTCAGAAACCAAGATCTGGACATTAGGTGTTGAGGCATCTTTTTTTAATCCATCAGAATGTCAAATATTATAAGGATTGATAACACCAAATGATGTTAAGAGTGAGGAAAATAGATATTCTCATTCACTTTTGATAAGAGTATAACTTCAACAGAGGGTAGTTAGTTTGACAATGTCTGATTAAAATTTTTGGTGTGCAGATGTGAGAATTTTACTTTTGGAATTTATTATCAAAAGATATATGAGCTAGAATATTCATTGCAACATTGTAATAGCTAAAACCTGAAAGCTTAAAATCTCATCAATAGGAACTGATTGTTTAAATTATGGTATAGTCATACAATAAAATACCATGAGGTCATTAATATAATACCATAGGTATTGATAGGGGTCTTGCCTCATACTTGCCGAGAAAATAAAAACACCTACCTTTCCCCAAACTAGCTACATATATTTATGCATACACACTAGCTTTCTGTTTACTGTGCAGCACAGTGATTGATTCCATTTCCCAACTATTTCAATGTTGGCTGTAGCCTTTACTTACTGTGTGACCTTAAGTGTGCTCTTGAAACTCTGTGCCTCAGTTTTCTCATTTGTGAAATAAGGGCAATAGACAATCTATCACACAGCGTTATGGGAATTAAATTAATACTTATACGGTGTTTAGAATAGTGCTTGGCACATAATAAGAGCTCAGTAGGTGTTAGATTATTACAGTACTCCTTAGACTTAAAAAGGCTAGTCTTTTTTTTAAATCATTTTATTGGGGTTTCATACAACTCATCATAATTCGTACATATATCAATTGTATAAAGCCTCATCATTCTCAAAACATTTGCTCTCCACGTAAGCCCCTGGCATCAGCTCCTCATTTTTCCCCCTCCCTCTCTGCTCCCGCCTCATGAACCCTTGATAATTTATAAATTATTATTTTGTCATATCTTACACGGTCCGACATCTCCCTTATATGTAGATCCCTATAATCGGTTCCCCCTTTCTACCCCACCTTCCACCCTCCCAGTATTGCCACTCTCACCACTAGTCCTGAAGGGATCATCTGTCCTGGATTCCCTGTGTTTCCAGTTCCAATCTGTACTAGTGTACATCCTCTGGTCTAGCCAGGCTTGCAAGGTAGAATTGGTATCATGATAGTGGGGATTGGGGGGAGGAAGCATTTAGGAACTAGAGGAAAGTTGTATGTTTCATCATTGCTACACCGCACCCTGACCGGCTCCTCCCCGTGACCCTTTCATAAGGGAATGTCCAGTTGCCTACAGATGGGCTTTGGGTCCCCACTCCG